TGGGGTCAGTCATTATTTTTCCTACCTCATTTCTGATTCTGTTGATGTGTGTAGATTCTCCTTTTCACTTAATAAGTCAGTCTAGGGGTTTATCTATTATGTTTATTCCTTGTATTGATTTTTTTTATTGTTGTATTTTTCAATTTAGTTTATTCTCTGATATTTATTATGTCCCTCCTCCTACTGACTTTGGGCCTCATTTTTTCTTTTTCCAGTTTCAATAATTATAACTTTAGACTATTCATTTGGGATTGTTTTTCCTTCTTTAAGTAGGCCTGGACTGCAATATAGTTTCCTCTTAAAACTGCCTTTGCTGCATCCCACAGAAGTTGGGGTGCTGTGCTGCTGTTTTCATTTGTCTCCATAGATTGCTTTCTCTCTGTTTTAATTTTGTCATTGATCCGTTGATTATTTAGGAGCATGTTGTTAAGCCTCTACGTGTTTGTGAGCATTTTTGTTTTCTTTGTACAATTTATTTCTATTTACGTACCTCTGTGATTGGAGAAGTTGGTTGGTAGAATTTCAGTCTTTTTGAATTTACTGATGTTCTTTTTGTGGCCTAGTATGTGTTGTATTCTGTAAAATGTTTCATGTGCACTTGAGAAGAATGTGTATCCTGCTGCTTTTGGGTGTAGAGTTCTGTAGATGTCTGTTAGGTCCATGTGTTCTAGTGTGTTGTTCTGTGTCTCTGTGTCCTTACTTATTTTCTGTCAGGTTGATCTGTCCTTTGTAGTGACTGGTGTGTTGAAGTCTCCTAGACGAATGCATTGGATTCTGTTTCCTCCTTTAATTCTGTTAGTATTTGTTTCACATATGTTGGTCTTCCTTTGTTGTGTGCATATATATTTATGATGGTTATATGTCCTTGTTGGACTGATCCCTTTATCATTATGTAATGTCCTTCTTTATCTCTTGTTACTTTCTTTGTTTTGAAGTCTATTTTGTCTAAGTACTGCAACACCTGCTCTTTTCTCCCTAATGTTTGCATGAAATATCTTTTTCCATCCCTTCACTTTTATTCTGTGTATGTCTTTGGGTTTGAGGTGAGTTTCTTGTAAGCAGCATATAGGTGGATCTTGCTTTTTTATCCATTCTATTACTCTGTCTTTTGATTGGTGCATTCAGTCCATTTATATTTAGGGTTTTATTGAAAGATATGTACTTATTGCCATTGCAGGCTTTAGATTCATGGTTACCAAAGGTTCAAGGTTAGCTTCTTTAGTATCTTATTGCCTAACTTAGCTTGCTTATTGAGCTATTATAGACACTGTCTGGTGATTCTTTATTTCTCTCCCTTCTTTTTCTTCCTCCTCCATTCTTTATATGTTGGGTGTTTTATTCTGTGCTCTTCTGTGTTTCCTTTAACTGCTTTTGTGGGTAGTTGGTTTTATTTTTTGCCTTTAGTTAGTATTTGGTTGTTCTGCTTTCTTTAGTGTGATTTTATTTTCTCTGGTGACATCTGTTTAGCCTTAGGAGTGCCCCCATCTAGAGCCGTCCCTCTAAAATATCCTGTAGAGGCAGTCTGTGGGAGGCAAATTCCCTCAACTTTTACTTGTCTGGGAATTGTTTAATCCCTCCTTCATATTTAAATGATAATCGTCCTGGATACAGTATTCTTGATTCAAGGCCCTTCTGTTTCATTGCATTAAAAATATCATGCCATTCTCTTCTGGCCTGTAAGGTTTCTGTTGAGAAGTCTGATGATAACCTGATGGATTTTCCTTTGTAGGTGACCTTTTTCCTCTCTGTAGCTACCTTTAAAACTCTGTCCTTGTCCTTGATCTTTGCCATTTTAGTTATTATATGTCTTGGTGTTGTCCTCCTTGGGTCCCTTCTGTTGGGAGTTCTGTGTACTTCCGTGGTCTGAACGATTATTTCCTCCCCCAGTTTGGGGAAGTTTTCAGCAATTATTTCTTCAAATACACTTTGTATCCCTTTTTCTCTCTCTTCTTCTTCTAGTACCCCTATAATGCGGATATTGTTCCTTTTGGATTGGTCACACAGTTCTCTTAATATTGTTTCATTCCTGGAGATCCTTTTATCTCACTGCGTCAGCTTCTGTGCATTCATGTTCTCTGGTTACTATTCCATCAATGGCCCCTTGCATCTTATCCATTCTGCTTATAAATCCTTCCAGAGATTGTTTCATTTCTGTAATTTTCTTCTGATGTCATCCCTTAGCTCTTGCATATTTCTCTGCATCTCCATCAGCATGGTTCTGACCTTTATTTTGAATTCTTTTTCAGAGAGATTGGTTAGGTCTATCTCCCCAGATTCCTTCTCAGGGGAGGATGTCTGGGTTAGTCTGGTCTGTATCAAATTCTTCTGCCTTTTCATGGCGATAGAGGTAGTTGTGGGGAGCTGGCGCTTGTGTTGGCTGGGAGAACATCCCTTCTTGCTTGTTTGTCACCTTCTTTTCCTGGGAGAATGGCGAACCCTAGCGGCTTGTGCTGGGCAGCTGCTCGCAGATGGGGTTTCTGATTCTTGCCCACCTGCAGTGAGAGAATCTCTGCTCTGCTGCTGTGGGAGTGGCCAGCCTCAGGCTGCTGCTCAACTATGGCAGAGCAGCATCAGAGGGGAAACAGGCGGTAGGCTGTTTATCTCTGTGAGGGGCCTCTGAGCTGCATTGCCGCCCAGGGGGTTAGGGCGCCCGGAGTTCCCAGGAATTCCCAGCTGCCAGGCTAAGTGTTCCGAGACGTTTCCATCCAGCTGTGGGGTCCCTGTCCCTTTAAGTCTTTCAAAAGCACTTGCTTTTCTTTGTCCCAGGGGCACCGGCTGAGGGGACCCACTCGTAGGTTTTGCTGTCCCATTTCCTAGTATCCAGCACCCCATGCACTGTGTGTCTGTGTTCCCAGTACAGATGGCTAGAGCTGAGTATTTAGCAGTCCTGGGCTCCCTCTCCCTCCCCGCTCCAACTCCTCTCCTCCTGCTGGGAGCTGGGGTGAGGGGCACTTGGGTCGTGCCTGGCTGTGGCTTGTATCTTACCCCTTTGGGATGCACTGGGTTCTCACAGGTGTAGATGTGGTCTGCCTGTGTCCTGTATCTTCTGGTCTCTCTTTTAAGGATACTTACATTTGTTGTATTTTCAAAAATATATATGGTTTTGGGAGGAGATTTCCGGTACTCTACTCACACTGCCATCTTGGCTCTGCCCCGTGATTTACATTTGAATCCCTACTTGAGATGAGCGGGGCCAAGTTTATGACTTCATATAGTTTCTCCCTGGGTATACTCTTGCCCTCCTTCAATATGTTCTTTACACAAAAGTCAAGAGCGATCGTAAGTAGGCTTATATTAATCTCCTATATAGAAGCCACAAATGTCTTCCCATTGTACTTAAAGTAAAATTCAAACTCTTCCTCATGGCTACAAACAAGGTTGTAAAAAATGGAGATGATTGGATACGTGCTCATTCTCTTGTCACTCTCGTCTCATCACCGTGCCAGCTCTGGCAGCCTCCTTTGGCACACTCATAGCTCAGTCCTGCCGCAAGGCCTTGGTACTGTCATTCCTCATAAGACTGGCTGCTTTTCATCATTCAGGATTTAATTCACATTTCCTGAAAAAAGCCTTCCCTGACCATCTAGCTTAGAGCTGCTCCCTCTATCCCTTCGCCATCTACAGCAGTGGTGCTGAGTGTGGTCCTCAGACCAGAATCAAGAGGAGCATTTTGTTTTGTTTTGAAATGAAGTGAGGCCCTGCCACAGACCTTCTGAAGTAAAGTCTGCAATACCCCAAGGTCACTGTTCTTTTACATTTTCAGAGGCTCTGATCTAGAATAGCTCTCTCAGTTTTCCTGTGTATCTGTTAATAGGCTTGTCCATCTCTGACTGTAAGTCATTTGTCTACCTGTTTATTACTGCTCCTCCTAAATGGAATATGAGCTCCACAAGCATACTACCTGGTCTGATTTCTTTGCTCCTAGGTCCCAGCACCTGACCCATTATCTGCACCTAGAACATGCTCAATAACTATTTGATGTGTAAAAGACTACATCAATATGATGTAGAGTAATTTGTGTTCCTTGAAGTGTATAACTCTACAATAAAAAACTTTATGCCTTTCATTTATAAACCAGGTTTTATTATCTACCAACATCATCCTTATGAAGAGGTTTCATTCTACTTCTTGGATACTGAGTACTATTTAAGTAGTGTGACTAATAAAGAATCACCAGTTTATCCTTGTTTACAGGTAGTGTATCTTCAGAACCAAAGGTTATGTTTTATTGAGTGCTTTGCCAGAGACTTAAAAAACTATGACCAGTTGTTTTGTTTCTGGTATTTTAAAAAGCACTCTTATTCAGGCTTAAAGTTATCTTCAAAGGTTTTTATCCAATCCTTAGTTTGATAATTGTATCAAATCTTACTTAATCAGAATTTAATAACCTTTTCAAAAAATAAAATAAGATTCTGAAAATGTTAAGTCAAATGCTAAATTTGAAGTTAAACTGCAAATAAAAACTGATGGGGCAAGTAATATACTCGAGATATGATTTTAGGAAAGACATATAGTTGCTGATATTCTACACTTAAAGATATTGTTCCCAGGATGTATTTCCTAATGGATATCCTGGTGGAATTTGTCAGGAACCAAAATTTCAGTGTACACTTTGAAGAAATAGAATAGCTTACATTAATGGCTATAAACTGGGGATGATTTTGCCCCCAGGGACATCTGGCAGTGGCTAAAGACATTTCTGTTCATCACAACTGGCAGGGGGTACTACTGTCATCTAGAGACTGCTAAACATTCTGTGATGTGCTGAGCAGCTGCTAAAGGAACCTTGCTTAAATTGAGAGAACTCTTCCTCTGCAAATACTAATGTCACCAGAAAAAGAATACATTGTCCTGTCTGTTGGAAAAGAGAATATATGTAAATTGATGACTTGAGAGATTTGGATAGATATATTGGTGTGGCATTCTCAAGATCTTTACATTTTTTATTTTAAATAGGAAAACTCAAATACGTAGCATTAATGATTTTCTTTATTTTACAGATGGGGTCGAGGATTTGGTCTTTTGGGTTCCATTTTTGGAAAGGATGGTGTATTAAACCAGCCAAACAGTGTCTTTGGACTTATATTTTATATACTACAGTTATTACTTGGTAAGTATAGCATACAAAAATAAGATTGTTATATTCTGTTTTGCACTTTGTCTTTGCCCTGAAGTGTGTCTTTATATTAAATAAAACCACATGTTAATGATAGAACCACTAGTTTGTAGCACAGTTTTGTGTCGTGAAAACTTGGTTCACTGAAATTTTAATGATGCAAATGCTGAACATGGTATCTGGTGGTGTTTAATCAGGGATAACAGCATCCATGATGTCCAGAAAAACCAGTTCCATTCAGGGAAATTATTACTTTTATCTTCCCTGGGAACCTTTTTCCTTATCATTTTGTATACTATAGCTATTTTTAAATAGCATGCACTGAGAAAACTTTAATAAACAATATTCATAATTCCATTACCTTTACATAGCCAGTTTCCACTGCCTTCTTTCTTCACTGAATTTTATGTGAACTCTTAATGCTGTCTGCCCTCTTAAGTGTTTTGTTATTATTGACATCAAGGCTTTATTCTAAATAATGGTGCAGTGATCAACCTTGTTTAAGGTTCCTGTCACACATACCCTTCCCTCTTTGAATTATTTCCACAAAATAAATTACCAGACATGGGGTAAATGAATCAAAACAGATTTTTGTTACAAATTTTAACTGCTTTCCCCTCAATTGTCAGATTTCCCTGAAGCTTCATTCACCTTCATTTTTTAAAGTGTTTTCTGTAAAATTTCTAATTTAATAATTACATACTAGTAGCCATTATTTTAATTTAGTTAGTAGGATCCTGATAATAGTCCATTTTGATATTTGTTACATTTTACCCATTTTTTTTTGTATACAAGTTTTTATACAAGTTTTTATAAACTGTCAGTTAGATCTACCCATTTTTGCCCTTACATTTCAGTTAATATTTTATCCTATTACCTGCCAACTTTTCTGTGCTCCTCTATATAGCTGAAGGTGATTAGTTATGAGCCTTAATTTTTCTCAATAGTCCTATCAAGTTTGTCCAATTTCATATCTGTATATCTTGTAGAAACACAAAAATACATACAAGCACATTCATAGCAGTAGTTTAAAATAGCAAAAAATTGGAAGTAGCTTAGCAAAAGATGATGGTTGAATAAATTAGATTATATCTGTACTAGAAAAAACTACATAGCCATTAAAGGAAAAAGTACGTCTGCATGTATGTCCTAGAAAGATCAAGACATAGTTTAGTAAAAAAATCTACTTGTGGTATAACAGATATGGGATAACTATATGTATATAAATGCATAGAAAAGAGTCTGGTGGTTAGAGGCTGGGGGTAAGACTTTCACTTCTTATTCCATTTTTTGGTTTTGTTTGGATTTCTTGAGAGTATGAAGTATGAGCCCAAGTTAAAATAGCCTAAGAAATGTTTTTGACTATCAACTTTTGGAGATAGAGGTAGAACAAATTTCTACTTGCAATAGTTAATTTAATTTCATTATATACACATTTTCAATCATGTCCATCATGCATTTTTCTATGCACATTTTATGCATTCACATGCATTTTTAATGTCAGTGCCTTTACCATTGAAGACACACTTAAACTCATCTAACAGTTTTCCAGATCACGTCCTCTTCACTCCCTTCTAAGTGTTTGAGATACAGTATTTTTTATTTAATTTTCAATAGGCAATACATTCACATGGTTCCAAAGTAAAAAGTATAAAATGCAATACAGTGAAAAGTTGGTCTCACTTTTGTCACCAGCTGCCCACTTCCCAGTGCCTATCATTCCTGACTGGTAGCTTGGTGTTATAGTTTCTTTAAACATAAGCAAAAATATACAATCACAGTTGACCCTTGAACACCATGCATTTGAGTTGCACCGGTCCACTTATATATGGATTTTTTTCAATAAATATATTAAGAAATTTTGGGGAGATTTGCAACAATTTGAAAATCTTTCTCTAGCTTACCTTATTGTAAGAATACAGTATATAAATACATACAGCATACAAAATATTTGTTAATTGTTTACATTTTCAGTAATGTTTCTGGTCAACAACAGGCTATTAGTAGTTAAGTTTGGGAGGAGTCAAAAGTTTTACATAGATTGGATTTTCGATTGTGTAGGAAGTCAGTGCTCCTAAGCCCCTGTGCTGTTCAAGAGTCAGCTGTCTATAATCTTAAATTTTCCTCTTTTAAAATATAAAAATGCAGATGCTCTATGCACTGTTCTAGATACTTTTTTTTTTGCTTTACTGATAGGTCTTGGTGATGTTTCCATAGCAGAACATTAAGTGTCTTCATTCTTTTTTCACAGCTGCCAAGTATTCCATTGCTTGACTGTACCATCATTTATTTACAGTTCTAACACATTTCAAATCCAACGGGACTTTTATCCCAAGCCACCATTAGGACAGGCTTGGTATAGTAATATTTAATCAAAAGCCAGTATTTATTTATAGGGCATTCTAAGTGCTTTTTACCTGTTAGCTCTTTTAATACACAACAGTCATAGGAGTTAGGAATGATTATTATCCCAATTTCACAGTTAAAGAGTGGCTTGAAGAAAGTAAATAACTTGTCCGTATCATTTTGAAACTAACTTTCTTAGATAAAATAAAGGTGACAGCATAAATTTTTGAAGTTTCAGATGTTTGGCATAGGTGAGATCAGCAAACTTCTTTAGTAATGGGCCAGCTGGAAAACAATTTAGGCTTTGCTGACTGTTGTAGCTACTCAACTCTGCCAGTCTAATGCAAAAGCAGGCATGGACATTAAGTAAATGAATGAGTGGGTCTGGATTCTGACAAATCTTTATTTACAAGAGCAAGCGAGTAGCCAGGCAGACTTGCCAGTCCCTGACATAAGTAACCCAACACATCTTAGTCTTGAAGATTCGAGCTTTGTTAAGCATCATGCTCTAGTTCTGACTAGTCCCATGGGCAAGCTGGGCCCCTGGGACTAGGCTGCAGCCCACAGGCAGCTTCTCAGTCAGTAGGCAGCAGGGGCTTCAGCTCAGTTAATCTCTTAAAACCTGTCACTACCTGTTCTTATTTTTTCTCATTTCTGTTATCCATTAGTTGTTGGGTAGGAAGGTTAATATAATGTGCTCTGCTGTCTTCTCTCTCCTTGAAAATAAATACACATTCTCAATACTGTTGAGTACAGGAAATTACCAAACAATACATGTGAAGATGTCAGATAGAATCAAGAATTCAGGCACATTTTTGTCTTGAGAGCCCCAGCTTAGCACACATAACTGTCTTTTTTCTTGATCTGGTTTGACCCACATGTGGCCAACTGACCAAATGTGGTTTCTGTTATCCCCCAGCCTGAGCCCTTCCTGAAATGTTTATCGTGATGTTTTTCCTTCTTCAGCAGCATGTTAGTGTGATCATCTCCATTATAGATTTTTTATAAATAATTTAATCTAAACATGGGAAAGTAAAGGCCAGAGGAGATGTGTCCAGCTTGGAGGAGAAGGTTGTGGTCCTCATACTCAATTTTCCATTAGGAAATGTGGTTCTGTCAATTACAAATCAGCTTCATTGCATAATGTGAATGCAAGATGTATATTTTCTTCTCATGCCTTAACTGAGGCTAGAGTATGAAATAAGTAATACAGTTGACCCTTGACAACATGGGTTTGAACTGCGTGGATCCACTTGCAACTCTTTCAAAAAATTATTGGAAAAAGTTTTGGTGACTTGCAACAATTTGAAAAACCATTCTCTTTTCTCTGGCTCATTTTATTATGAGAATACAGTATATAATACATGTAACATAAAGTATGTGTTAATCAACTGCTTATGTTATCTGCCGACAGTAGGCTATTAGTAGTTTGGGAGGGTATTTGTGCAGGGAACGGCACTCCTACACTCCCCTCCTACAACATTGTTCAAGGGTTAACTGTATTTCATCTAGAATATTGACATGTCAAAAACATTGCAGCTATAAAACTGGGATGTGCATGACCTGCATTATCTTAACAGACCAGTAGTTTTTGTTCTCCAATTCCATGGTGTTTTGCTGCAAGGTCTGTCTTCCAGCCCTGCAGCAAATCATGAATGGTTGCCTGTTAGCTCAGAACTGGCTCTCCACGGTCCAGGTCTGAGCGCAGCAAGTGTCCCTTTCTCTTGCAGGCATGACAGCAAGCGCAGTTGCAGCTTTAATCCTCATGACCTCCTCCATCGTGTCTGTAGTAAGCTCTCTGTACCTGGCCTACATTCTGTACTTTGTGCTGAAGGAGTTCTGCATCATCTGCGTGGTCACGTACGTGCTGAACTTCATTCTTCTGATCATCAACTACAAACGACTCGTTTACTTGAATGAGGCCTGGAAGCGACAACTGCCGCCCAAGCAGGACTGACAGCCTGACAGACTCTTAAATGACAGTCTGAAGTCCCTTTCTCCATTAAGTTTATTTTGCAGCAGTTTTTTTTTTTTTTAATTCTTCAGAACAGACACTTTCCCTAAACTGATTTCCTTAAACTGACTTTTAAAAATCCTGTAAATTAGAAGGGGCCCTAGCTGTTTTTTGTGTCACTCTTCATTTTAAATAGGGATACAAGGCAAAAAGGACACACCAAGCCGGTCAAAGACAAGCTTTAACTTTACTTTGAAGATGTTTCTGAATAATAAAACGTAATCCTAACTCCTTGCCCTCAATTGTAACGTGAGCAACCATTGCTAGCAATTCTCTAATGTGTATAAATTCAATTTCAGGTATAACAAATGTGATCATGACAGAATATTTTAGAATAGATACTGTATTAAATATTGCCATGTTTACAGTATGTAATGTTTTTAGCCGATGGATTTAAACATATAGATTCAACTAGAATCCATTTATGTGATATTTGTAAATAAAGATAGAAATATTGGATCCATCCCTGAAGAACTTACTGTACAGTTTAGTTGAAGTGTAGCAATGAAGAATTGTTAGCTCAATGTTGACTGAAGAAATAATGAAAATAGTAAGTCCATACAGAGCATCTTGTGGAAAGTACTGACAGCTGTGGGTCCAGTACTGAAAGCAAAAAATAGTAGGGTGGTTGGTTCCCTTTCATTTCCTTCCTCTGAAAGGAAGAAACTAAATTTGGACATTCAAGTCAAGCTTGTGTCTAGTCATAAAACTGGACCAATTATGACCTTATGGAATGTCATGTGACCAGACCTTCAGGTGCAAGGACTTCAATACATTAAAGATGGGAAAATGGGTAGATTTGTTTGGAGAAAAGCTGGAGATATTAATATGGCACTTTTGGGTAAAGTCTCTTATAACGGTTGTATTTTCATGCAGATATTTTTCCTTAACATTGGTGTTAGTCAACCAAACAGTATTAGGACTTTGAAATAACCAGTATAAGCTCAGTCACTCCAGAGCAGGATCGCTTTTGGGTAGTTCCATAGTGTTTTCCCTGTTTCATTCTGCACTAACTAATCGGATGTCTAGTTTAATTGTTCTAAAGTCAGATATTGGGTTTGTAAACTTTAGGGCTGACATGCAGCTCAGTTTGCTTTATTGGGAAGAACACTACAGGTAGAAATATCTGAAGGTGAAATACAGTACTGGTGTCACTATTCTAAATAACCACACAAATGCAGAAATTTTCAACGCAAATAAACACAAATGATATTGTGACAGTATGTTTCTATGGTTAACATCTTATATCAGAATGTTAAAAGTGCCTTCTGTCTTAAATCTCAAACCAAATATTTTGTGCTGTTGAACTTGGGCTGAAGTGTCCTTGCTTCCTTTCTTACATAAAGTAGAAAATGTGCATTCTATAGAAAGGTTCTGTATGATTTTACTCCTTAGATTGAGAAGCAGTAGCTGTTTTTTGCTTCCAATTAGATTAATCATTATGTTAAGAATAGACCGGTAACTTTTGAGTGCTTTATTTGCCTTCTCTTTGAAGGGATGGGATAGACTCTGCTCTGTAAACCATAATGTGTAGAGTCAGCAACTCTTCAGTTTCCGACTGTCAGAATTGACACAACATACTCTTCTGGCCCAAGGTGGATATAAATCTGGATTGTGATGAACTTCTAACCAGTTCTAACCAGTTTTATAAATGATATGCTTAATTCTGCTTTCATCAAGGCTTTTGTTTTCTCATAAATGTGAATATTTCAATGCCTGTTTTATTATGTATGTATTGTTCTTGTTTCTATAGTTGAAGAACTCTAGAAGCATTGATTGGATGTCTGGTGTTTATGGAGAAACAAGTCCTCATGTTCTGCACAGTGAGGTCATCTTGTCGCAGTGCTTCCAGTTCTACCAAGCAGTTTTCTGGGTTTTTTCCTAAGCGACAGTGGAAATGGCTTAATAGTTAAGATGTTTGTGGTATATATAACACTGGTTCTGCCAAATAAGTTTTTCATGTCCCAGTTTAAAATGGTTTTTCATCATATTTTGTATCAATCAGCAAAGGACAAAGCTTGTCTTGATGTTAGTTCTTGCAAATGTCTTCAATCTCTTACATAAGAAAACATAAAAATGTTCAGTCAGAGCTTTCAAGTTTTTCCTTTGCTTTCCTAAGCCTTGGGGGAAACACCATCTCAGTTGTACAAAAATGTTTGCCACATTCCTGTGAACCAGTATAATTCCTATTCTTTCTCTCATTGAGTGATGAGTGGGTGCTGCCTGAAATAACCGCATGGTAATGCCAGTGTCTCAGGAAGCAACCCAACCCCGGTGGCTGTTACTTGGTGTTTTTGCCCTGGAAGAATTTAGGCTCCCCTCTACATCCTCTGTTCAACCCCAGAAGGGGAAAACACAATGTTATAAAATCTGAGGATGATTATGACTATTTTAGACTATTTAAACATTGCAACACTACTAGCCACCAATGTTGAATAATTAGGAAAAAGTTGAGTTCCTGGGTTTTGGTAGTAATTCCTTGCTTCTTGGCTTTTGAAATGATTTGTAAAAAATGAGGCCACTTATTTACTGGATAGTCATAATTTGAATAAGGGAAGTTGTGGTTAGATGATAAATTCCGTGGAGTCTAGGTGGATTTGGAGGATTTCACTTGTTTTTTTCTACAGCTAGTTGTTGTCAAGTGAGGGTGAACTGGTGAAACAACTCAGGTTTAACCAGCTGCGTGGCAGGAATTACTTTTACTTGATGTATGTAGCCTCTCCTTAAATCCATTACTTTTAAAGATATTGAGAGCAGTGACTCTTGTCACTGGATACCAGAGATCTTCAGACCGACTAGGTAGGATACAGGACCAAGACTACAGTGAAATTAAAACTGTTTTGTTGGCTTTAGTTTGCTTATATTTATTTTTAAGACTATCCACAAAAATGCAAAGTTACCTTCAGTAATTACTTTGTAACTTCAGTTGGTAACCCACTGCCTGACACCAGTGAATGCTAACAGGTCTTGTCTTGAAAATTGGTATTAAACAAATGCCAACAAGAAACCCACTATCATTTTTGGTAGCCTATTTGGGAAAGAATACCTAATGTGCAACCTTTGTGCTCCTTTCCCCCCAACACGCAAGCAATGGTGAACCATTCCTATTGAGACATTTTAGGCAGCACTTACGATATTTGTGAGAACTACCCTTCATTAAAACAACAGGGGTGGGGTGGGAGTCCAGGCTACTTGAATACTTTTGTGACAGATTAGCCCAGAAAAGGTGAAATGTTGTTATAAACTATATTAAGCATGGCCTAAGGGTTAGGTATATGGTCTGTATAGTATGTTCCATCAAAAATATTTATTACTAGTGCTTTAAGCTCCAGAGTAAACATTCATTTAAAATGGTGTCCACTAGGCAGATCTCCCCATTAATATAGGAAGAAATACTCCTTATCAGAGATTTAGGACAGTTTTGCTAACTGGTAAAAAAAAAAAAATGTAAATATGTAAGAATGTTTATTTGTTGCACATAACTTTTTTGGTATAAAATAAATGTAGAAGTTACCTGTGGAAGCTGTGCTGTCATTCTTACACTGCAGGAGTGCGTTTCAAAAATGAAGCTGAAATGAATTCAGTCTTAACTATTCTTGATAATGTAAACTCATTTCTACAGGTGAATGGACTTATTTTTCTCTTAAATTATACATAATAGAAGACACAGAGTTCTCAGAGAATTCCTATGGGTTTCTAATATATGTGGTTGTCCAGGATTAATGAAAAAAGTGGTACTGCTTACGATCCTGTAAGCATCTAGAACGTGTTCATCAGCTGCTTTCCCATAGCTCACCTTGAAGACTCCACTCATTGTCTTCTAAAAAGGTAACATCTGCAAGAAAGATGAATCCATTTGCAATAGTTTACCCATATTTTATTGAATAGAACAAATGTGTTCCATGCCAGAACCTTAGGACTTGAAAAACGGATCTTACCCCTAATTTGTACACTTCAGTTTATCTATTTTTTCTTTTAATGTTTGTCAAAGTTTTGTGTATTAGTCCTTGACATTAAATTTAAACACAAAACTTGATACCTCCAAGAAACTTAAGAAAAATTAAGTGGTAACAAAAATGTAACTCTTTGAATTTATTTGAACTGACTATACTCTTTCTTAAAAGTAGCCTAAAGACCACTAAAATGTTACCTTCACTGTTTCTTTCATGGAGCTTGGGAAGGAAGGCTAAAAATGAAGTGTGTGCTTAGGCATGTGGAATCAACTGTAAGAGAAGCAAGTCAAGTTCTGTGTTAAGAACTGTTTTGGTTCACAGTCTTCCATCTGGACACCAAAAGTATTTTGAAAGTAATCAGCTTTACGTCAGGATTGATGAATACCGAAACCTTAGGAATAATGTGCCTTACTTGCCTTCCTGTGGAAGAGGAAAGATTCCCTAAGGAAAGGAGCAGGACAGATGGCATCACACAGGGCTACAAAGGGCTAGGGTTCCTGTTTGGAAAGTGGTGCACAGAGCTCATTCATCACCCAGCATGAGCTCACTTTCTATGCACTTGTTGAGACTGCAGCTCCTCTGTGGAGCTGAACAGCAAGGCTGGCCTGGTACTGCACATGGGGCCCCTGGGCTGTGGGTTAGGCCTGGGGAAGCAGAGTCTTTGACCAGCAACTCGAATGTGGTGCAAGTGTGGAAGCAGGTTTCTCAGGAGTCCATACAGTTCAGGCTATAAATACAACCTGACACAAAAATAACTTCAGATGCTTTTCAACAGTACAGATCATACAATTTATGGATAGTCACTTTTAAGCCAACTTTACTCTCATACTACAAAAGCCTTTATTTTCACCTCTAATGTTCCCTTCTAGCAAATTACTACGAAATCCAGATCAGAAACTTTCCAGTTTACAATGCACAGTCCAGGAAACACTTGCTGTTTGCTGTGGAAGTTGGCCCTTGGGGAGAAGGGGTTGGCAGAGATGCTCTCAGCAGAAAGGTAGTTCTTGCTTTAAGTCAACAGGCTGTTTCCCAAACACTGTGCCTTCCTAGCTGACCAGTGGTCACTAGTTTCATTGGCAAGTTTCCAGTATCTCTCTCTTAAAAGAAATGCTGCACCTTTTGGTTGTCTCTGACGAGTGAAGATCCCCTTTTTATTCCCAATTGCTCTCTGTGGCGCTAAAAAGAAGGCAGAAAATGTTTCAGATGATTCTGATGGGTCAAATCAGAACCAACCAGGAACCAAGGTAGGCACTAGAAAATGTCCTCTTACAGTTTAGTATTGCTTGGTCTGAAGTGGTGTCTGAAGTGGTTACTTAATGGGTTAAAGATTTATATATTACTCTTCCCTCAAAATACCTCAGCACTCTGGTGTGTTAATCTTTTATTAAGGGAAAAAAATCCAAAATTGTTTATCTTTTACTTGTAAAATAAGGTTTAAAACATGGGTACCCAGGTGCTCAGTAACCGGAGGGGAACTGAGGCACAGTTACTCTTGGAAAAGCCTGGACCTTTCTGAAGAGACAACTCTCCTAAGTGGGAGCTAGAGTCCTGACCAGGTGGGATCTATCCGATTTCAAAGCCCTCCTGAGCAGGCTTGCAGCTGGGTTCCCATGCCTGTGGCCAGCCAGTCTCTGGGGGCTGAAGCTGGGAAGGGGGCAAAGCTGGCAGCAGCCTGCTTCTCTCCAGCACATGGCCCCCCAAGTAAATCCAATATGCGTGGTCTGTCTTCTTCCTTATACTGTTCAGAAAAAGGCAAGTTGGCCATTTTTGCATGAAGCTAGAAGGCTCTCCATTTGCTTTTCTACCACAAAATGATTTGGGAAGTAGGCAAGCAACTGTTGCTTGCTAGATGCAACTTCCTTTTCCTAGGAAATCCTCTGTGTAGCCTACACTGATTAGCTCTGCTTTCCCCTTCTTGTCGCCAGTGTTCCTACAACTCATGTCCTGAACTGAAAGGCCAACCTGAAAGAATGAGAAGCAGTACATTCCATAAGCCAAACTGCCACTTACACTGGTCAGTCATGAAATCAGCAAAATTCCAGATGAGCTCCCCAACCACATATTCCTTGCGTTTCTGATCCAGAACCACATGGTACTGCTCTAGCAGACCTTTCTGGTACTCTTCACTGAACATCAGAGGTGGATCCTGGAATTCAAGGCAGAGAGAGAATTTAACAGTCCAAACTGGCAGAACTGTAAATGTTAGCTAAAAATAAAGGTCCACATGATGGTGGCCAAGAGCTCTGTCCCCACAGTGGGCCACAGCACTCAGCAGCACTGGTGTAGACACAGCCTGGGTACGACATGGCCTGCAGTAGGAAAATACTTCTTTAAAAAACATTAATCAGTAACTGTTTTATTTATAAGCAATATTTTATATTTGCTTTTTCTTTCTTTCCCATTTCTATTCACCAGAGCAGTCTTAAAGCTGAACTACACTGAAGTAAAAATACTGTCTTTGAATAATAAATGTAAAATTCAAGTTTTAAGTAGCTGTCAGTGAATAATTTGAGAATTAGTGTGACTCATTAAGCTCACCTCAGACTCAACTGTATGTAGTCTGGGTAAGAATCTTCTGTTTAGCACATTCACCCATTCAACAAGTAATTATTTGGTATCTGCTTATATGGCAGGCATCGGAGATGAACTGATAAACAAGACACCATCTCTGCCCTCAGGCTTTACAATCTAGCAAGAAAGACACAAGTAGGAAGAGTGCAGAGCAGGAACTAGGGGATGTTCAGCAGAAGCAGCTGAGATGGGGCCACAGAAGACTTCCCTGAGGAAATCGCTAAGCTAAGGCCTGACGGGTGAAGCCCCACCACAAAGGCAGAGGGCCACATCTATGGACTCGCTCAGTATCTGGTGAGGGGCTTCTATGTGTCACATACTAAGGATGATCTTTTAGATGTTTTTGAAACACAAAGTCTGAGTTTTCATCTCATGGGAATTTGGGGGTGGGGGGAGGGCTGCAGTCATAGATGCTTAAGGATGCAAACTCAGTCATTTCACAAAAGGATGAGACACCCAGCTGGCCTTGGCGTTTTTCCCCAGCAAGGATTACAATGCTATATGCAATACACTGGAAATGTAACTGTACGACTGAGCCATGTTTCGTTCCAGTTCAAGGTTGAGTCTGAGGACAGGGCAAGATGTACATTTTCTTTCTTTTAGTGGAAATGACCCTGCCTTGTCTCATACTAGCACATGTGGCTACCCTTCTGGACAGTGCAGATGTAGAACACTTCCATCCCTGCAAAGAGTTCTACCAAGCAGCCCTGACCTAGACTATTTCAGAGCTTTTTAAAAATTCAGAGTTGGTTGGCTTTTCAAAGCAGGGGGACAAATGTGCATACACATTGTCTTCATAAACTATTTCCTCCTATGTTACCAGTTTGTAGAAGTGGCATTCTGTACAAGTAAGATAAATTTAAGGATGTGAACAGAATACTATAGTCCATGTAAGTAGTTGTTCAACATACCAAGAATAAGCATGTTAAGAAATGTGTGTCAACAAGGAATCCCAGTAGTTGTGACAGGTGAGTGTGAGGTGGCTGGGGTGGAGCTGACGGCTTGGCTGTGGTTCAAGAATTCACGTGAAGAAAATCCCCATAAGGCAAAGCGGTGTGTTTTTTGGTGAGGAAACTGACAAAACAATGAGAAAAAATCTAATGACTAAACCTTGCTCCAAGACTGCATTCCCTTAACAAACTGGCAATTGCTGTGTGCCAGGCGCTGCCAAATGCTTGAGAAGCAACAGCAAATAAGACTCGTGTCTGGTCGGGGGAAGTGCCAAGGAAATAATGACAGTGCACAGTGTAAAACCCTCAAAAGCAGAGGAAAGTTTTCTATGCCTGGGGCACATAGTAAACCACCAGAGAACACTGAAGCTGAGACTTGAACACTCAGAAGAACCCTTCAGTTGGCAGTTGTGGTGCTAACATGGGTACTCCAGGCAGAAAGCACAGCCTGTGCCACAGCAGGAGCCAGAGTCCAGTGTCCAGAGTGACAGCAGAGGAGGATGGAGACCTGGCAGAGAGCAAAGGACACTAACTGCCCTCACCTGGGATTAGGGCTTTATGCTGTGGGCAAGGGGAAACCAAGGACAGGACTCCCAAGGTTTGGATCTGTTTGAAAGACAACTTGGGACTTAGTGGGAGGCTGTCTGGAAACAAGGCCAATCAGGAAGCTGCCTGAGGACTAAGCAGAGTAGAGGTCAGGGTCTGGGGAGCCAGGAGTGTGGAAGGGTGAGCCTGAAGACCTCCAGGGGGGGTCACCAGGACAAGAGAGGGGTGGGAAACGCACCTTTCTAGCTTAGGGCAATGAGTGACTTCACTATCCAAGAGTAAAGAGATAATGTTCTACGCTGTTTACCTGGTGAAACCCTGCAATGGTTTCTGCTCCGTACTCGCTCTGAATGATCGGTTTCTGATAGGTCCTGTACCAGTTCTCAAACTGGGTCACCAGCTGCAGCTGAATCACCTCCATGTGCCCATAGTCATGGTACCAGGAGTAGTAACTATTCACACAGATGACATCCACATATGGTGCCTAGGACGAGAGTATTAACACTTGCCCACCAACTGGAAGATTGTGTGTTATTAGTACTGCACAACTGGGGGGCTCTTCTGGCAGAGGTGGTAAGGGGATGCAGAAAATGATTTAGGTGCTCACATGTGCAGGAAACAGAAGTGACCTGAATGGAGCAAGCCTGTAATTCTGGGTCAACAGTCCCAATCTGGCTGCAGCTGAGCTTTGGTGAGGGTGAGCAGCCACCGTGGAAGCCCCACCCCATCCCAGCTGGCTTTGTTCCTCTCCAGATAATGCTCCTGTTACTGTCTCCCCTTCCCTGGCCCTCAAGAAATGTTCCCCAGAGGGATAGATTCAGTTTTTCTCCTCACAAAAAATCCTGATTCACGTGCTGTGAGCCGCCGAGTGGCTGCAAAATTCCCTCTCAGGAAGGTAGTAGGCAATGGAGCAGGACCATCTCAAGTCTAAAGGATGCAGGGCAGAGGACAGAGCACCACCGTCTAGCATCTGATATCACCTGAACAAATGCTCATCTCCTAAGCCTGCACAGCTACTGATGTGGCACTCCCAAGTGACTGTAGACCCTTTCCAAATTGGTGGTGGGAAGACGCAGGCATTAGAGAAAGGTGGGTGAGGTGTCTGGGTAGGCACATGTGCATGGATCACATACTCCACCAGATGAGTCTGGCAACCTCCTGGGAGACCACGCACAGGAAAGACGTGAATGGGAGAGATGCCACTTGGGCTCTGAGAACGTTCAGGCCTTCCTGGGTCATGTGGGTTTGACCACAATCTGTATGCTTCCTTGAAGGGGGTGTTCTCAAGAGATGGCAAGAACACCAGGGCTACAAACCTTTTCCATCTGTGTTAAAATGACACTTCCCAAATTTGTATGCAGTGTTTTTGTATCCATTCTCTCTTTAGACAATTTCTCTTTCTGTAGCACTTTCCTCCTAAGTACTGGCCTTCAGCTCTCTAGCAAAGCATTTTCTTGCTCCCATGTTTTACAGCTTCAGTGCAACTCAACACACAGATTCTGAGGCTGCTGTCACAGTAACAGCGAGGGAGGTGCATGGTCCAGCCAGCCGTGTGAACCCTAAGATTCTCAGTCTGAGGGGCCGGATCTGGTCAGTGATTCTTCAAGCTGGTGGATTGACTGGAATCACTGAAGAAGCTTTTTAAAAACTCAGGTTCCCATTCTGGACTTACTAAATCAGAATCTCAGAATCCAGAGATCTGTACTTTCAAAGCTTCCCTCAGCGATTCTAACAATCAGCCAGGTTTGGTAAACACTGGACGATGACAAGTAATTTAAGCAAATTACTGAGGTGCATAAAACACTGAGTCTGAACTGAGAATGAGTTAAATCTTCCTGTGCCCAGCTTCCTTGGAGTCAGGAGGCCACACTACTTAGCACATAAGCAGGCAATTATCTTTAACCTAAAGACCATCTGTGAAAATGGTCAGACTGGTTGCTTGTGGTTCTTCCCAGCAGTCCACCTTAGCAAGCATCGGGGCAGGGCTAGAGGACAGGCGGAGAGAAAAGTGGTATGGAGACCCCAAGCTCACCCCCAGGTCTGCTTCAAAGTTGGAGTTGGTCACAAAGGTCACAGGCCGTGAGGGGTCCAAAGCTTTTGTGTGGGCAATCAGTGTCCTGTCCACAGAAAGGAGAAGACAGGCTGTCAGGGAGGGCTCTAAAGTACCCCTCTCTCCCTCTCCCTCCCATCTCCCTGAAGCAAAAAACTGCTGCTCTCCTCCCTACCTGAACTATGTTTTAGGTAAGCAAACATGTTCCTCTAGTTTTAGATCATGTTCCCAGACATGATCTTTCATTTCTCCTTCTCAAAATCCTAGTGCCCAGGGAAGAGGCCATCCTCTTGGGGGTGGGCAGCACACAGAACTGAGGGCCCTGGGCCAGGTGCTGCTGAAAGTCAGGGCCTGAGTCTCAGAAAAAGCTCTTGAAGATAAGAGTGGGCAGGGTGAGGGTTAAGATGGACATGATCTTACCAGAATAATCAGGAGTGTGTGCTGGGAGGCAGGCTGCGTACTGGGCACTCACTGGAGACCGAAACAGTCTTCATGGAGTGGACAGATGCATGTTGTAATTACAAGTGGAAATTCCAAGTAGTAGTGAGATTATTAAGGGGAAGCCCAGGGTTCTACAGGACAAAAACAGGGCCGTATAACTGAGGCTGGGGAGTCAGCGCCGGCCTGACAAAAAGGCACTTATGCTGAACTGTGTTAACCCAGGAGAGATGGTGAGAAGAGGCTCCTCAGCAGAGGAACCAGTCTGTGGTCTCCTGGTGCAGGTCACCTTCACTCACTGTTTAAGCCTCTTCTGTCTTCTCTGTCCTCACATCCCATTTTCTTTTCCTTTATATCCTCTCCCCATCATTGCTCATCTCATTTGAAGGCTATGGTCTCTGCAGCCAGAACAGTGTCCCTTTACCCTGGAGTTCAGGCTGTCTGAATAGCCTGTTTGTCAACTGGGAAGTCTTTAGAGCCTGCTGAGCTCCTCTGGCCTGGCAACTCTGTCCAGACCTTGCCACCATCCCTGCTGCTCCAAAAGGAACATGCCTCCCTTTCTCCACTTCCCAGAAGAGCTAGTCTGGAACCTCAGATGCCCATCCTTTCTCCCTCACAACAAACCCGCCCACCAGTCCGTGCTCAGCACACCCCTACCCCACGTCTCTGTCCTGTGTTGGGAGCTGTCCTCAGAGCCATGTTGCCTGTGCCTACCTCAGACGGTGTCACTGGCCTTCTACCCCTGCAGCAAGGGAGGTAATTCCTGCCTGCAGGCTAAGTTATAACTACTCAACTGTAGGAAAGAAAAGCAACCAAGAAACATCACTCCAAGGGGTGGGGCTTGGGGGGCCCTCCCTCAAAGACAGTAGCACCTCCTTTTGCGGGAGGCTGCCTGCTGCAATGCTTGGGGGTAGAGAGGAGCCACTGGCACCTGGTGATGGGAGCACTGACTTCAGATGGCTTGGTTTTGCCCAGCAGTGTAACTTTAGAATAGTTAAAACACGCATGTCACTAAAAACCTGTTTATAATCATGTGCTCACTTGAGCCCGTTTTATAAATCCTAACTCCAATTTACAGATTGCCCTGAAACATCACTAAGTGGCTTTTACAGTTTTTATGTGTGTACACTGAATTTCCCAGAAACTGAGATATCATCAATCTAAGGGAAAATTACACCTGGGTTTGCCTGAAAGTCTCCCTAGAGCGGCTCCCTTCACAGATGCAGAGCACCGGACAAAACGTAGGTCTGTGTGTCACCTTCAGCCTTGGGAGCACGGGCGATGGACACTCACGTCAGCACGATGCCCACGCCGGGACTCTCGTCGATTTCATGACAATTTCATGACTAGGTGTGCTGGGGGTCAGGCCCGTGCCTTCACGGTTATGTTATAAAAGACTCTCTTGGGGCACAGTTTGGCCACACCACTATTCTTTTCTTAACCTGAAGTTACTTGTAAGTAGGTTAGTTAACTCTGAACTTCATCTCAGGTGTGTAAAAGGGACACTGAGTCTCCCTGGGGTGAAATCACAAAATCCCCTGAACTGACCACTTATGGAGGTGCCCTCAAGTCTGGGCTGGGGGAGCATGCCATCTCCCCTGAGGGCCAATCTCAGCTCTCCATGGCTGCCAGCCAAGGCTGAGCCAGGTCAAAGGGCTGAGGTCCCATCTCTGCTCCAGGTCGGGCTGTGGGGCACTCACTTGAAGTAGTAGCCAGCAGGTTTCAGAAAGGAAGTGGGCTCATTGGCCACAGACCACATCACCACGGCCGGGTGGTTCTTGTCCCTGCGCACCAACTCCTCCATCACCTCCAGGTGGTGCTGCAGAGACACATTGCTGTAGCTCTGGCTGTGGGGTGGGGAGAAAGGGGCTTGTCACCACCAAGCTGGATGGGCTGAGCAGTGTGGGCGATGGACACTCACGTCAGCACGATGCCCACGCCAGGACTCTCGTCGATGACCACAATCCCAGAGTGATCACAGAGCTGCATCACCTCCTCTGCGTATGGATAGTGGCTGGTTCGGAGCGCATTGGCACCAAGCCAGAGAAGCAGGTTGAAGTCCTTCACCAGCAGTGGCCAGTCAAAGCCCTTCCCTCGGATCTAGGGAGGGCAGAGCAGAGTGATCCCCTGACTCTGTCCAAGATACATTTCCTTCTTGAGCCAGGTGCCTTGAAAATCACCCCATTCACCCCCACTCCAGCCCAAGCACAGTGATTCTGAGTGGTTTGCTTAGCTGCTCTGAGTTGCCCGGAACTTGCTTCAGGGGGCCATGGGGAAGCTGACTACCAACATGACTAACAGCCCCTATACAGACCTGGGAGCCCCAACTCACATCTGCATCCTCATGCTTGTTGACCCCGTGGAAATAGAAAGGTTTCCCATTGATGAGGAACTGGCTTTCTGTGACAGCCACAGTGCGAATCCCCACAGGGAGGGTGTAAAAGTCAGACACAGGCCCAGCTGCCGTCTGTGCAGTCAGCCTCACCTATGAAAACCAAGTACTGAGTGTGAGGCATCCCTGATGGCCTGAGCCCCACACAGCACCCGCTTCAGCAGGAAGACCCGTCATAAACCATGATGGCCCACCCCTTGGACTGCAAGCAGAGAGGTATAGAAATTCCAGGCTCTACCAAGGCATAACCTTTGCCCTCCTGCCTGAGACCTGCTCTTCAAAAGTGGTCCCCCGCCCACTAAGGGTTGAAAGAATCAGTCTGGAAACACTTCAATCCAATTGACTAGGAAGCTCAGAGGACCATGCACATCTGCCCACTGTCTGCACCCCTGCAGAAGCCAGGGCTGCTGGACAGGAGCAAAAGGCCTCCTGTAGGCCAGTCCTAACAACCATTACCTCCAATGAGTACAGGTAGGCAGGGTGCTCATGCATCAGGTACGGCCACCAGAGGTGGGCACTGGGCACCTGCAGCTGGCCCCGGCCTCCTGTCCCCTGGGCCACAACTTTGCCTTCTTCATCCAGAAGACGCACTTCCAGCTGGAAGTGTTTGCTGCCCTGAATGAAAATCTGGTAGTTCACCAGCCCTGCAGGAAACGAGAGATCAAACGAGATAGAAGACAGTGTACAAATGAAAGCACCCTGCAACCACCGCTGTGAGGGCTCCCCAGTCAACAACTGCTTATTCCCAGAGCTCCATTTGCAGCAAGGGCAGATTAAGTGAGGGTAGCACAGTGGGGAAGGGAGATGGGATTCCCATGAACCCTGAGGTATTTGTCTGATGATGTTAGGGAAACCTCACTTCTCCTTAGACCTCATTTTCTCACAAAATAAGGTAGGAACAAATGGACAATTTCTGCAGCCCATGACAGCTTGCACGGACTGGATTTCAGCTTCTTAGGTGCATGGAACCTGTGAGGATTTAAGAGAGGCTAGGAGACCCTTTTTCCTGGGGGATCTTTCCAAACAGGAAACAGAGCCACTCTGTGCCTGGTTGATGGCAGATCCTGCCAGGGGCCCTCACCAGTGTCTTGGTCCACACCAGGGGTGACGGTGATGTCATCAATGTAGGTGGTAGGTGTGGTGTAGAGGAGCACAGACCGATGCAGTCCCGCATAGTTGAAGAAGTCAAAGTTTGTGCTCTGGACAAAGTAACCTTTGGGGTACCTAGGGTGGGAGGACAATGGCCAACTGGGGCCTCGCCTGGGTCCTTCAACCTGAGCTCACCTCCGCTAAGGCCACCCTGCCCTTAATGGGAAGACCACTGGATGGGGATAGAGTGGGGGGAAGGGGGAGCAGGGTGCTGCTCACTTGGAGGTATCCGTCTTGTATAGGATGGTCCCTGGTGGAAGGGTGTGGGGGGTGAGAGTGTTGTTGATGGCGATGGTAATACGGCAGGAGGACAGGGGCCCAGTCTGGACCATCTTGCTGATGTCGGCCTCAAAGGGGAGATGGCCCCCCTCATGCTCTGCCACATGAACCCCGTTCACCCACTACAGACACAGGGAGATATGGGGAGGGGGCCACAGGTCAGAGCATGAGGAGGTGGCCCTGCCGTCTCACAAGGGCTGAGGCCCTGCCAGCTGCCACCTGACTCAGGAATGGAGGAATGGAGCTCCAGCAGAACAGATTAGGCAGCCTTCCCCCAACCCAGGGCACAAACACCAATGTGGGGGATAAGTATGCCCCTCCCACCCACCCCAACAGGCAGGCTGCCAGGTCACAGCTGGGAACCAAGCTCCCTAAGGCAGCCTCTACTTGGCAGCCACAGCTGCCCACTCGCCCTGCCTGCTGCTCACCACACTGACCACAATGGCATAGTAGTGGGCGCTGCCAATCCTAAGCACCACTCTTGTGCCCGGGTCCTGGGTCCACCGCTGGGGCAGGATCGCCTCCCGCTCGTACCACACCCAGCCGACAAAGTGACGTAGCCGGCCATCCTGGCCCACGTCATTGAAGCTGGAGGGAACGGGCATGTCCAGGATGGGGCCCGACTGAGGAAAGAAAGGCTGGGATCAGGTCCAGGTCACCTAGGAATCTGAGCTGAGTGCCCAGGCACCCTGGTCCCCAGGGACCAAGTCCCCCAGCAACGCTGTCTACAGGGAGAAGGCTGGGCAAGATGATTTCTCCCAGACCCGGGGATTCCAGGCTACCCCACCATTGTTATTCTTTGCCAGCAACTGACCAATGCTTTTTATGAAGCACATTTAATTCTTACAATCCCATGAAGCCGACTCACTCACTCAACAGTGTACAGTGAACACCTACAGTGCTGTTCTAAGTACTACGAATAAAAGTGAATGAGGCCTCTGCTGTCAGGTGACCGGATCAATGAAGAGAGAGCGGAGAGTGGCGGGGAACCAGCTCACACGCTGGGAAGGCCTTTTGGGGCTGGGGCCCATGGGATACTGCCTCAGCGCACCATGGCAGAAATGGGTGAACCTGAACCCACTGCTGCTCGAAGCCCTGGCGCCAGTTGTCGAAGTCGGCGCGGGCGCGGAAGCTCCAAAGGCCATCGAGCTCCTTGCGCTCCAGGCGATGGGCTCTCCCAGGTAAGTGGATAACAGCCTCCATCTCTGGTAAGAGGCAGAGCAGGGGCTAGGGCAGATGGCACAGCGAGCCTCGGAAAAAGCTTCCTAAAGATATCATGTACGTGGGATCGCCTCTGTCCTTTCTTTTACCTCTGGCGTCTGGCACAAGTCCCACCACACAGTAGGGAGGGACTCAGTAAAAACACTGGCTGAATGGATGGAAAACTTGCTGATGAGATCTCAACAGCTAGTATGGTTTGTGCTGGACAGTTGATGGGGCCAGTTCTTCCTCAGGGCAGCTGTTACCACGAAAGGAGTGAGCCCAGGGCCACAACCCAGCCTCAGGAAATGGATCTGCAGAGGGCAGACCTTGACTAAGAGGAAGCTGCTCAGCTGACTGCCCCAGTGAGCAAGGCTGAACTGGGGGGCAGGGACTGCTTTGCTGAGGAAACTGAGTGGGACACATGCCTGACACTTAGACCCCGCTTTCTTCCTCCCCTGTTGAAAGCTGGGTGGCAAACACCGAAAAGAGGATCTAGAGTAGGTGAGCCCTGGCTGGGCACACAGGCCTGCCCCGCCCTACTTCTCAGCTCACCGGACCTGAGGGCCTGGAGCGGGGTCCTTGGCTGGCTGGATGCCAAGCTCCGTTCTCAACCTAAATCTTGGAAGGCAAGGTTTTTCCTGCGAGGACAGAGCTGGCGTCACGACGTCCAAAGCCTTCCTCCTGCCGCTGACACTGCTCTGGCTCGGCCTCCCCAGGGAACCGGTCTAGAGCCCGGCGGCACTCGCGCCCGCCCCAGAGCCCGATCCCGTTTCCTCCTCGGGCCCTCTGTGGGGCAGCCAACCCAGAGCCTCCGGGCCCATCTTTAACTTCCTGGCTCGCAGCTCCGAAGGCACAGATAGGTCTCTGCACGTCCCCCACCCCCACCACCGCGCTTTACGAGCTTCCCCGCCCTGGCCCCGCGCCCACGGAGGCCGCACCTCCCGCAGCGGCGCCCGGTACCACTGCTGCTCGAAGCCCTGGCGCCGGTTGTCGGAGAAGTCGGCGCGGAAGCTCCAGAGGCCGTCGAGCTCCTTGCGCTCCCGCGATGGGCTCTCCCGGGGATACAACATCCCGCCCTGCAGCGCCAGCCCGCAGCCCCAAAGCAGCGGGCCAAGCGCCACCCACAACCCCGCCAGCAGCCGGTGCATGCCTCCCGCGCGGCGCTCCGCAGCAGTCCCGCAGGCTGCGGCGCCGGGGCGGGCCCGGCGCATGGTCATATGTCGCCCGGGAGGCCGCCTACGCCATTTTGGTTGAGGGTGAATGCCAGATCCCTTGGGGTTCAGCGATGCCTACCTTTGGGCAGGATTCGTCCTGTCTGCCTGCTGGAGGGCAGTGACGGGGGCGGGCGAGCGGGGAGCTAGGCCTCTGGGCGAGAAGGACCCTGACCCTCCAGCCCCAGCGTGGAAGGGTGGAGGCCCTGGGCTCCGCACCCACCCACAGCCTGCCAGGCCATTGCCCCCTCCCATCCTGCCTTTTCCGATTGCTCCCGCTCAGGGCGGCAAGTCCAGGGCGGGACCCCGGGAAATGTCTGGGTCCCCTGTTTCTACAAAGAGTCCCGCCTGAGACACCTCCACCTGTTTATGCCTGCTGGGCACCTGATGAGCCCAGGCGAAGTCTCTACCATGCTTAGTGGCATCTGCCCATAGGAATGTTCCACAGACCCGGCCATGGCCTAGACACTGTGTTAGGCAGGAAAATAGATATGAGCCGGGTGCAAAGAGAATAAGGCCAGGAAAGCCCACTAAAAAAAAAAAAAGAAAAAGAAAAAGACCCAGAGTTAATCAGTTAAAGGTCAAAAAGCCAGGAGTAACTTGGCCTGGAATATTTGAATATTCCCCAGATAAAGGAGGGTACCTCAGCATAGCCCATGTCTTTAGTGTATTACTCATGCAGGCCCAGATTATTTTTTAATGCTACCTATATGCTGTTGTTTTCTCTTTCAGCTCTAATCAAGTAATTTGTAACCTAGGCAACTAATTTAGCATGCAGGCCCAGCAAGAAACAACAGTAAAAGGCAGGAAGAAGTGAGATTCTTTTTTTTATTTTATTTTGGTATCATTAATCTACAATTACATGAGGAATTTATGTTACTAGACTCCCCCAATCACCAAGTTCTCCCCACATACCCCATTGTAGTCACTGTCCATCAGCATACTAAGATGCTGTAGAATCACTACCTGTCCTCTGCATGCTGTACAGCCTTCCCCGTGCCCCCCCAACATTATGCATGCTAATCATAATGCCCCCTTCCCCCCACTCCACCCCTTATCCCTCCCTTCCCACCCATCCTCCCTGGTTCCTTTCCCTTTGGTAACTTTCAGTTCTTTCTTGGGTTCTGTGAGTCTGCTCTTGTTTTGCTCCTTCAGTTTTTGCTTTCTTCTTATACTCCACAGATGAGTGAAATCATTTGATACTTGTAGGGTCTTAGTTGCCTCAACAAAGTAGCCAACAAATGGTCAACACCTCATTCATGGCCCAAGCTGCCCCAGACATCAGATGAAAGCTCTAAAAACTTGAAAGCTTTGCTGGGATGAATATCACTCAGCTGATTAAAATCACCAACAAAGTATATCTAAACAAAGAAGTTCAGTCTGACTGAGAGGCTGAAAAAAAAAATGAAGAAAAAGGCCAGCCTCCTGGCAGCTGCCCTAAAAGAAAGAGATGACCCAAAGGCAGAGAAAATCCAGCTGCCAAGAGGGAGAAGCCTAGGATCCCCTAGCCAGGGACCAGGGTGCTTACTATAAAGAGAAGGGGCATTGGAAGAATGAGTTCCCCAACCGAGGCACAGCCCTGAAGCCCAGTCGCTACCAGGAGGAGCCTCACAGGGAAAGTCTCACTGGCCTGGCAGGAACAGACTCAGGTTGACAAAGACTGCGTTCTCTTATGCTCAGCCCCCATGGGCCCAAAGTAAAAATGAAAGTGGGGGCCAAACATGACTTTTATGGTTGACACAGGGGTGGAACACTCTGTGGTCACCCTCCCTATAGCCCCTTTCAGTAAGAAGACTGCAACTATTCTCAGAGCCACTGGGACAAAAGCAGTCCAGCAGCACTTTTGACAAGCCCACCAATGTAAACTTGGAGACCACAAGTTCCAACATGAGTTTCTGTACATGCCCAAGTACCCCATTCCCCTCCTTGGCTGAGATATACTCTCAAAGCTTGGAGCCCAGATAACTTTTGAACCAACTGGACACACCAGCCTCAAACTAAACCCAGGCCAAGAAGAGTCAGGCTCCCTCATATTGGCAATAATGACACCTAGGGAAGAGGAGTGGAGGCTATTCTGTGCCCAGACCCTCTCAAGTAGCCCATCTGAATTCAAAGCTGCCTTCCCCTCGGTATCGGCTAAAGACAACCCACCTGGACTTGCTCATAACTGAGCCCCTGTCATTGTAGAATTGGCTCCGGGGGCCCAGCCACAAAGACAGCGGCAGTACCTCCTCTCACAAGAGGCGAGAGCAGGCATCCAGGAACACCTGATCAGACTCAGAGAGGCAGGCATTCTAATTAAGTGTCAGTTGCCCTGGAACACCCCACTTCTACCAGTTAAAAAGCCAGGAGGAGGGTACCAGCCTGTTCAAGACCTGTAAGCCATCAACAAAATGACTGTCTCTTTACACCTGGTGGTCCCAAATCTGTACACCATACTCAGCTAGATCCCAGGGTCTGCCAAATGGTTCACTTGCCTAGAGACTTAAAGGGTGCTCCCAGAAACTCTCATATGCCCTTCTTCATCTGGGGCTGGGGTAAGGAGTTAATGATCTTTTTCCTCTCTGGCCCTAGTGCCCTTTCTCCCTGGGTGAGGAGGAAGCCCAAGTACTGGACTTGCTGCTGGCATATTTGTGCCTTTTTCTGCAAGGCTCAGTATCTTGAGTCTGACAGGAGTTGCAGGAAGGCCTTTGTGCCTTTTGCACAATTTTCCTGGGTGTCACTGGCAAGGAGAAGGTCATCTACATCCTGGAAGAGGGTGCAGCGCAGGGCTTCCCTCAGAAAGCTGGCAAGGTCTGCAGCCAATGCCTCTCCAAAGAGAGTGGGTGAGTTCTTGAACCCTTGTGGAAGCCGTGTCCTTCTTAACTGCATCTGCTGCCCCATATCTGGTTCAGTCCATTTGAAGGCAAACAAGAGCTGACTTTGGGGGGCCAGCTGGAGGCAGAAGAAGGCATTCTTTAAGTCAGCTGGCAGATGAAGCACTTAAAGCAGTAGCCAGTAAAGAAACAGGTAGAGCTCCTTCCCTCACCATGGCCCTAACATCCCCAGTGGAGGCCTGTCCACCCAAGTACACTGAAAAAAAGGACTGGGCCATGGCTGAAGGAGCCACCCTAACTTAAAAAGGATGGTGGAGAGGCGGAGCCAAGATGGCGGCGTGAGTAGAGCAGTGGAAATCTCCTCCCAAAAACACATAGAGCTATGAAAATATAACAAAGAAAAATCTTCCTAAAATAGAGACCACAGGACACAGGACAACATCCAGACCACATCCACACCTGCAAGAACCCAG